TTGAAAATATACAGATATACGAATACGGTATATGGACGGTATACGGTATATTTCTTTCATAATCATGAAATTAATAATTATGAAAAAAAATTAAAATTTAAAATAATTTTTAAAATATAAAAATTTATTACTATTTATTACTATTATTTATTATTATTTATTTATTACTATTTATTATTATTAGCATGCATATTGTATCGTGTTTATTATATATGAAGTCATAAGGCAGATAAAATCTTATTGTAAAAAAATAAAATCTATTGGATTTACAAAATTATTTAATTTGTCGATATATCTACTGTTAGTGATAGATACGATATAACTGAAAGATAGGGCTCTTAGAATTTTAGAAATTTGTTTTCAAATATTTAAAAATTGGAAAATTTCTTAATTTATAGATTATGTATATATCACTATAAGATTATTGCCTAAAGGATCGTGTGTTGTAATGATTATTTTCGATAATTTCAGGTTTGATTCGAAACCCGTTGCCAGGTCGTTCACCAATGGCTCCATATTCCCTTTTCAAAATATATCGTATTTCTAAATTCATTAAAGAGAAGTGATCCCTTCATCCCTTCGGATCTCATTTTTGACTTTTTGCAAATTTGAAGAGCGGAAAGAAGACCCAAGTTACAATCGTAATAGTTTTATTCTAATTGAATATAGTCATTAGAACGTAGTTGAAATTAGTAGATTTTTATAGAATCATCTAAATACGCTTTAGAAAACATTCAATATAGAAAAACCCGCTCTGCAAAGTTAACACAATTAAAATAACTACGTTATTAATAATATTTTCTATATACTGTTATAAACTATTGTTCAGTGAATTTGACTCGTTTTTATTTTTCCAATCTGCATTAATCCTTTGAGTTAGTTATTAGAAAATCATCTTATTCAGCATTCTCTGTACAAAATCAATCAATTCCAGAATATCTATAGGATCTATGGAACTACTACTATTTATATATATACCATATATATTAAGTCATTTTTGTTTTTTTGTTCTTTTCTTTATGATTATGAATATTTCAATATATTGATTATATGTATTATTTTATATGTATGGATCACTTCATGAGGCTAATAATACTTCGAGATTTCATATTTGAAAGATGTTTATTAATTATATTATTAAACAGATTTTTAGTTAATTTTCCAGATGTGGATAACACTATATGTATAATTATTTTATAATTGAAATAAAAGATTATTGCGGAAAAAAGTTTTGCAGAAATTGAGTTATAGAAAATATGGTATAGCTATGTGTAGTAATGATATTTTTTGTTTCTTGTGGAATTAAAAAAATTCTAGATTTTTGTAATTCTAGATTAAATTCACTTTCATCAACATTGAATGTAATTCTTTTTTCAATAAATTTTTAATATGAAGTTTTATGTTATTAAAAAAATTAGAAGTCATTTTATTTAAATGCATAGTATATGAAATAAATTTATTTGTTATATTTTTCTGGTTATTATTTTATAAATTTTTTTAAAAATCCAATATGGAGATGTCTTAAAATTTTCCAAGCTTATTTCTTCATTTGCTTCTATTATTCATCTTCGAAAATCTAAATAAATAATGAGTATCAATCATAAATTTATAAATATTTGGAAATTTGTTCATGTTTCTTTTCTATTCAACATATTTTCCATTTAACTTCCTAATTTAAATAAGATAATAATGCATATAAAACAAATAAATAAAAATCTTCTTAATAATTATAACATATATATTTTATTTATAATTATTGTAAAGATCAAATTTTTTGAAATTTATATTTATCAAATTCTAAAGAAAATCGCTTTTTTTTTTACCACTCTTTGAAATAGCTACACTCTAGCTTACATTCTTTGAACATTTATTTTATAATTTAAAATCATAAATAATCTTTTTGACATATATTTTTTTTTTGTTTTAAAAATTCTTCTTATGATGAATATATATCATCAACAAATTCTATAAAATATAATTTAAACAAAAAATCAAAAATTTTAATGTAATAGTTTTCATTGAAAATGAAATATCTTTTTGCGAGGAATAATCATATCTTTTATTATATCATGTAATTTTATTTCTTTTGCATTAATTTTTGTTTCTATTATTATTATTATTATTCATAATTTCGAATGTGAAATAAATAAATAAATATAAACATAAATAATATTTGCAAGATATATGTCAATCATTTTTATATTTATTATAAAATGAATATATATTTATTATTAATATCTGTAATAGATTGCAAAGAAAATATTTTTTATTATTAATAAATTTTCAATAATTAAATATCTATTTTATTAAAATTATTAATTAAGATTTCACATGAAAAAATAAATTAAAAAAATTAGAAATTTTGTTTATAATTTTTTTCTAATTTTTTTCTAATTTTTTATAATTATAATTTTAAACAATTAATAAATTTTTTATCAAATAATAATTCTTATTAAAAGAAACTTCTATCTAAAAATTTTTTCTTTATTTCTTTTCCTTTATGCTCTTTTATAGAAGAAACAAAAAAAAATTGCGTAACGTGTATTTATATATGTGAACTGTATATATATTCTTAAAGTTTTCAAAATTTTTTGAATTTGCAGTTTAAAGATCTTTCCTTATAAACATACTCTAAAAATGAAACTTAATATTTATATAATTAAAATAAGAATTACATAAAAATTATCGAACCGCAAACGTTTGTCTCGTGTAAACCAAACTCGTGTTAACTAACAATTATGTAACTATATATCTTAAAAAGATACGTTGGAAAAACTCTATATTTTTTTAATAATAATAATTATAAAATTGTTTTTTTGACAGAGGTCATCTTAATAATCGTAATTATAAGAATTTCATGCAATGTTGAATCATTTGTTAGTTTTTGCGAAATAATGGAAACATAATATCTCTCATTACTTTTCTCGAATAGGTTGTTAGAGAACAGAATCCACTATTCTTTAATACACAATTCGCCATGAGGACAACGATAAAGTAATGTTCCGTTAAATGTCTTAACCGGTTACTTCGGAAAAACGAAGGAATAATAGATGTTCAAGATACCGCTTGATTACTGCTTGCCTGTCACACCCTCATATTCTTTCGACTATTAGGAGTGTTAATATCTTTTTTGCTTTTTGCTTTCAATTGGATGTGCTTTCTATTTCATATTTGTTGTATATTCATTCTTTTAGTTAAAAAAATTAAGTAATTTTCTTTTTTTTATTTATACAGAAATTTCTATTATGTTTGTTTGTAAATGAATTAAATCAATATAATAATAGTATCTTGTTTTTTTGAAAATAAAATCTTAGAAAATATAATCTAATTAAAAATTTTAATTAAAAAAATTAAAAAATTTTAAATTTAGACTTCTAATTGTATTATATATCTTTGTTTCTTTTTATTTCATTATTTTAATATATATTTAAAAATTAAATTTCAATATGTATATATATACTTTATATATAACTTTATTTCATGTCTTCATAATACAGAAAACTGTAAGTTCTTAACATAAATTTGATCCATCTATTGAATAAAATTTAAATTAAAATAATCTCTAAAATATTATGAATCAAATAATAGAAGAAAAAACACATTATACATTATACATCAAAATGAAAAAACCCTCATTGTTAAAAATCTAATCAATATAATTATTAAAAAGTAAAAATATAAAAAATATAAAAATATATTTATAAAAATTTATCAAATAATTATAAAAAAGTATGATACGTTAAATCTTAATAATTTATGATTTTTTAAGATTAAATTCAAAAACAAACATAATCTAATTATAAGAGAAACTAAACAAATAAAATAAATTTTTTTGGATTAGATATTTTAGATTTAGATATTTTAGATTTTAGATTTTTAAATAATAATAAGTGCTAATATTTTATATTATTATCTCGATACTAAATTTTATTTAGTAAAAAAAAAGTATAATATCTTGCTAAAAAAATTCATGGAAAACTTATAATAAATAATATAATAAATAATAATGCCAGAAAATATTTACATAAAATATTATATTAGAATGTTAATGGAACGAAATCGTTAAACTATCGATAAAATAAGATTTGGCACGAATAGATTCTTCTATAAATATTTTTCCATAATTGGGCAGAACAGATCTCGAAATTGCCTGTGACGCGACATAATGACGCCCACTACCAAATTTTTTGGCATCAGAAAACGTCGCATCAGACGCAACATAATATTGATATGTTCGTGATTCACATGGTATCTCTGATCGAGAGGCGGCACGCGTGCGCGCGCACGCGCGCGCGCGCGCGCTTTGGTCCACGCAACTGGAGACCCGTAACAGAATCATAAACATGAGTGCAACGAGGCCAGAGAGTCCATGTGGGTGCGCCTTTCGCATATAAGGACGTTCGCCGTCTCGTGGTATTCTGATACAACAAGAACCGCCGTGGCAAAGAAAATGAAGTTGGATTGGCAGGGGATTTAGGAGAGTGCAAAGGAGAACGCGAGGTTGGACGAGGAGAAAAGAAACCCATCAGATTGGCATCGTAGAACGACTGGACGACGAGACGAACACAGAGAACAGAAAGGAGAGAGTGATTCGAGTCGATAGTGGTAGCATTAGTAGTAGTAGTAGTAGTTATACCATGATTCTGACTAGTAGTGGTAACACCAGTAACTAGCAGTTGTAGTGGTAAGGTAGTAGGGTGTACCTTACTCCGGTAAGCGGAGGCCACTGTCAGTTCTCCCGAGACCATAGACTCGAGCCATCGCGAGATCCCCCTCTGACGATCATCATTCTAGAAAGATTCGCGGCAACGACCCTGTTATCTTGGATATCGTCAAAACGACGATTTCAGGGACGATTTCACGAAATTCATATTGAAGAGGATCTCTTTTTCTGTGGAGATTAGCTTATCAAGGACATATTTGTCGGTCAACCCCCATCGAAATCTATTTCTTGATATTTCTCTCTCTCTCTCTCTCTCTCTCTCTCTCTCTCTCTTTCTCTCTCTCTTTCTCTCTTTCTCTCTTTCTCTCTTTCTCATTCTTCTTCTCCCCACTTCTTTCGATCCTCTCCAATGGACCTTCTTTCGTAAGAAGGATCACCTGTAGTGTTTCGAAATCTTTGCGAGACTGAACTGTTTATGAGATCGATGCTTCATGCGGAGGCGTTTCACGTGACGTGTGCTCGATATCAGAATGGTGTTTTGATCTTGATTCATAATCGTACAAGTATCTTTTATATACGTTAACATTTATCATTTGGAGATTATTTGAACGGAGCGGATATTTTGAGAAAGGGTCGACACCAAAACGACCACGTGGACGTAGTGTATTTTTGAAATAGTATTTGATATAAGTAAACAGGAAGTGACCACTGTTATTTGTGGCTTATAGTGAAAAAGTGGAAAGATCATCAGCATTTGGCTGTTGATCAAGAATACATCTGGAAAACAAGGTAAGCTCAAGATTTTTTTTATTTTCATTTATGTTATATGTTTTATTCTTAAGTGGAGTTTCTATCAATGATTTATAAAGAATTTTACTTTCTCTTCATTTTATCGAGTGATAAATTATTCGAAAGCGAAAGTTAACGATAACTTGAAAACCTTGCATGAGATTCTTAATATTTATTGCTTGTTTATAAGCTTTTAATAATTAAAACTTCGTATGAAATTTTTAATTACTTATTTTTATTTATTATTTATTATTTATTATTTTATATAAATTACATTTGATTCAAAATATGAGCGAAGATCAATATGAGCAAATATTACATTCTTATTCTTATGAGTTACTGTTTTCTATTACGTAATAATTCATTTACGATCGAAAGCGAAAGTCGATATTAAAAACCTTGGTATTAGGTTCTAATTCTCAATATGAAATTCTATCTTTGTCCTCGTTGAGTATAAGAATCGATAAAAATATATTTCAGTATTTTATTATTTGATATATTGAAAAATTTTGAATTTAAAAAATTCTGCACTTAAAAATAATTAAAATAATTTAAAAAATTCTGTATTTTTTTGTATGTCATACATGGAAATTAATCATGAATATCTGATATCAAACATTCAATTGTCATCATCATAATATCTTATTTTATGAAATGATATCTAAATCTTTGTTAATATCTCAAACTTAAATATTATTTTATTTGAAAAACTAGAAAAATTTATCAGCAAACGATTCTCAAATCCATTTAAATGAAAATTATTAATTAATTATTTAATGACACTAAATTTTTATTCAAAATATAAAGTACTTATATTTTAAAAAGAATTTTATATTTCAGATTAAGTAAAACAAATCATATTGATAAATTTATTTATAGATTTTGTAAATAGTAAATAATTTACTTTATACCAATATTATTAATTCTAAAGAATTCTTTCATATCATTTATTTGAAACTAAAAGAGAAAGTTAGTCAAAGCCTCTTTCTTGTGGTACAAGAACATTCAATGCGTCGATTAAAAGGAAATGCATGGCAACGAGAGAAGGCAGCTTCATTCTATGGATACATTTACATTAAAATATCACATATACATATAAAATGGTAACTGATGATACAAGTATGCGAGTAATTATTCTACATATAAAAGTAAATCGAAAAAAAAAAATTTTTATCAAATGTAAAAAGAATTAATTCGCGATTAGATTATATGAATGAATTTATTATATATGAAAAATAAATAAAAAATAAGTAAAAAGTAAAATATTTTCATTTCATTCTTCGAAAAATCCAATCTTCGAAAAACTCAAATTTAAAAATTCGTTGAATACACAAGTACTTATTTAATTAAATTATTACTATTATTATTATTAGTACTTAATTATTCTTCAATTTCAATTTTTTTGAGAAAAAATAAACAACAAAATTTTATTTTATATCTTTTATTTCTCTTTTTTAAATTTTATATTTGATAAATTTTCAAAAATTAAGTGTTTTTCGTAAACCAAGTTTTAAATGTTATTTTTTTTCTCAAGATATTTTTATAAATAAAATTATTTTTATATTTTGTTCCGTTACACCATTATTATCAAATATATATATATATATATATATATATATATCGATAATTTTTCATATGTGAGCAATTTTGTTTGCTAACTGTAATCAGATAGATGTTAATATCCCTGAAGGAAACTTTATACTGCGAAATGACGAAGTAACATCTGACATTAAAGACTGACTCTCTCTTTTTGCCGCTTGTGAATGTTCATAGTGATTGCACGTGACGTAGTGGATATGTGGGTGCATTCTCCAATAGAAAATGGTGATTTATCAATCAATTTCTTATCGGATTAGAAGCATTTAATGTTTATACCGCATATATCTTTTTTGGATACAGGTGTAACGTTCTTCCTTTTCATTCAACATGCTGCCCTTTGCCATATGCCATTCCTAATAGCAAATACGATTCTTCTTGCTGCCATATTGGCCAACGTATTAGCATAGCGATTTTGTATATCCTATGATAGAATTTATTTTAATAATGTATCGAAAATTCTTATTCTTATCTAAAATTCTGCGATCTTTGGATTGATAGTAATGTTATATTACGGATAACGAATTCAAGTATTTAATACAGAATTTACTAAAGAAGAAAATTGTAGGAAAATAGTTATTTGTATATATAAGAATGTATATATAAGAATGTATATATAAGAAAATGATATGAAATTATTTTTTTCAATCATATTATTTTCTTTTCACCTGTTTTAATTTATAGTTTTAAAAATATTTATGTATTACACGAAATAGATCTGTTTCTAAAAAGAAACGTAAAATGATTGCATTTATCCTGTTTCAATACATATATATTATTCCACATTTATGATTTTATTTATATTTTATTTTATTTTATTATATTTTATTTATACTTTATTATATTCTAGTTATATATTTATTTGTATTTCATTGAATTCTTTTCTTAGTTGTAATATTATGAATAATCTAATAAATTAATTTTTTAATTATATAAAACTATTTATTTTCATATTGTCATAAAATTACAAATATATTTATAATAAAAAGATCTTAATCCACAATCTACTGTTTTTTCATAATTTTCATAAAAATTAGTATTGAAATATATATATATATATTGCTTTTCAATTTTTTAATATTCATAATATTTATTTAAAATCATTCTTCAATGAAAAATTTAAAAAATTTAAAGAAATTTAAAGAAATTTAAAGAAATATTTAAAGTTTGTAAAATTTGTAAAAGAATTTCATTAAATATTTTATTTAATCTTCAAATTTCATATTGATAATTACATAAATACGTTGAAGTTTATATAAAATACAAGTATTCAATACGAAAGAAGTAGTAATTAATCGATATAAATCATTTCTCTATCACCATTTCATGATGATATAATTGTAATTAACGAATTACTGCAGTGTTAAGTATTTATGTTTAAACAAGCAATATGATGATATTATTTGTAATATGATTATCGCGACTTTTATTATACTATATACAACAGATACATCTTTGTGAATAATTTATGTAACTTACTTCGACTTAGTGTCGTAATTTAAATGTATTTTTTTAGTGTTTATTTTACATATCGAAATTATATATCATTTAATTAACTTCATAGTTTAGTTTATCTAAATAACTTCAACTATTTATTTTATCTATAATAAGAAATTATGAAATTATGAAAATCATCATTTTAATTTCTTTAATATCTCATATAAGATATATTTTCTTACATAATATATAAAAATATCTACATATTTTTATACTATATAAATATATAATAATATATATACTATATAAATATACTAATTTTTATACTATATATTGAATATAAATATAATATATAAATATACTATAAATTGAATCGAAAAATTTATATATTATATTAAATGATTATTTACAAATGCAACCGAGAATCTATCTAAGTACAGCCTTGTATTTATCTTCAATATTTTGCAACTATAGAACATTTAT